TACGAAGCAAGGTTCGAGTTTCAAATCTCTTTGGATTGGCCAGCTGGACAATTATCCTTCTATTATATAAAGCGCTAACTTTGTGTGTCGGTTTGTGTATCTGTATGTGTGTGTGTGAGTGTGTGTGTGTGCGTGTGTATGTATGTGTGTGTCCGTCCGCAAAATGAAGTGAGTGAGAAGGAAGCTCATGGGATAAACAAACCGCTAACAAATCGGGTAGCTTACAGGATTTGAGATATCAATGTTTTGTAGCAGGATAGTTGTGATAACACTCTTAGGGCTATATAAACACCTGCTTAGCACACTTCCGTTCATTCCACATGGTGCTGCAGTGGCAGCTGGAGGGCAGTGGAGAGAGGAAGGGAGGATGAGGAAGGGAAGCGAAAATCTACCGTCATATCATGATTGTGTCCCTTCTACTGTATGAAACACCATTGTGTTGCATACGCGTCACTTCCAGGTGTTTGGTGTCACAGGAGGAAGGGACCATAGCGGAGGATAGAAAGCTTGCGCAGGAAAGGAAGGTCCCGGCGGTTGACGGGGGACTAATCTGGTAAAGGATAAAGGATAAAGCATTTGCCGTTGATCAATCCCTTTTTGGGATGCGGCACGCATTCTACTTCCATTTGTACATTCGCAGTGGCGTTTGAATGCGATGTGGCCTATACAATGACTTGCGGGGGCCAGCCGATGTTCAAGTCAGTGTTTTTATCCTCCCAGACAAGTCTGGTACCAATTAACCGACCCCGGAGGGATGGAAGGCTTGGTTGGCCCGGGCGACTCACGACCCAGGATTTGATCCCGGACCGCTCGCGTGGTAAGCGCGCCACTTGTCACTACACCACTTCCGCCCAAGCAGACTTATTCAGGAAAAACCACAAACAAGTGACTAGTTAAAAAAATAGCGCAGATGGTAGGCTCCTACCCTATCCTATAGAAGTCTACCTTGATTGCTGTTACACCTTGTGCCAAGCCTCAATGAGTTTAGATGAAATCGTGTATCAATTCTGGACACTCAGAGTTATTGGTAGCCAGAGCACGTTTCTCAGGATCTGGAGAGGGAAAGGTTAGAGACAGCGGTATCGCCCGTTTTTGCTCGAAGCAGATTCAATAGGGGAGCGCAATAAAAGAGCACCTGATCATATAAAGCGTGTATGGACTAAATATGCCCCTGAGTGCTGTCAATCTCAGATTGTAGAAGAAAACTCCTTAAAACTGATTAATGACTACCAAAATGAGCCGACGCTCTTTCAGTCAGCAGAGATACTGTTCAGTATTACTATTGCCCTGAAATATTGTGTAATCAATGACCAGCACATTCTCCAGAGCTGTAAAAATCCACTGAAGGAATAACGATAAAAAGGGAGCGCTTCGGGGCAGTTTATGCGCCACACGAAGCATACTTGGTTGGTAAGTAAACGCGGTATTGTGCTGACACGGTAAGGTGCGCTGGATGTTGCGCATACTTCGAGAGCCTCCGGCGCAATGTGCACGCCCACTTGCTTGGAAGTTATACGATTCATGGAAGGATGGGCGGAAGTGGTGTAGTGACAAGTGGCGCGCTTACCACGCGAGCGGTCCGGGATCAAATCCTGGGTCGTGAGTCGCCCGGGCCAACCAAGCCTTCCATCCCTCCGGGGTCGGTTAATTGGTACCAGACTTGTCTGGGAGGATAAAAACACTGACTTGTACATCGGCTGGCCCCCGCAAGTCATTGTATAGGCCACATCGCATTCAAACGCCACTGCGAATGTACAAATGGAAGTAGAATGCGTGCCGCATCCCAAAAAGGGATTGATCAACGGCAAATGCTTTATCCTTTATCCTTTATGGCGTGATTGCTAGCAGTGCACAACTTGCGGCAGCGGAAACTGTTGGAACTAAACCTTCCACGGTGCACCAAACGTGTTGCAATGACTCGTCCTACGTTCCACTTAGCCGCTGCCTGTCCTTGAGCGAAGATTAACGGCCTAACAAGGGAATTAATTTTCGCGTTCTCTTATTCCTCGACTTCTCTACTTTTTTGCTACTAGTGTACCATTGAGTACCTCCATGTTCCCTCTGAACCCCTCTGGCACCTTTCGCAATCACTGTCTCTAAATGATGATGTTATGTGGGCAAAGGACGCACCTGTATGTATGGCATATCCGAGTGGATATCAATGCACTGACGTTTTTGAAGAGGCCCAAAAGTTTGAGGCTTCACTCATTGGTTTGATTAACTCTGATGCTTCTTTCAGCACATCGTGTTTAATGTTCGACGGCCACCTCCATCATATTTTGGTGTTACTCGAGTAAAATTAATTTAAATCTATTCAAACGGAGCTCGAGTAGCGTTTCCTTAAATGTCGCATGTGAGAACCTTTGAGCAACAAAAATGACGCATAAGAGCTAGACGTAACTATGGATTTTTTTTTTGCCTGCACGTTAGCGCAATCACTATCTTCACAGAATGTGTTGCACAAAGACGGATCGGGGGAGAATCCAGAGGCAGTACCAAGCGCGGGACGGGTCTCCGAAAAATCTGATCCTGGAAGCCGCCCTTGTTCTTTGCCATGGTGAATATGTCATTGGCCGTAACAGAGATACAGTTTTCCAGCCATATATCCGATCGGGTACTGTTACACGCAACCAAGGGATTGGAAACATCCTTTCCTGCTCCTGACGCCCCAACAAGCGTTGCTATTAGGATTTGCCATAAACCGTCCCATCCACACCTAATCATTTGTGTCCTCCAGCCAGATGCACCTGTATGCGGACTTCAAAACACAAGTGACAATTACAGTGACGAACACTTTCGAAAAATGGCCATCATAGTTCATTGCGGAAGTGTAGAGTGGATTAGTGGCAGATGTATAATAGTTGCTGGTAATGAATACAATGCAACTGTAATCGCGTAATCATTGCGATTACACGAAATATTGCATTTCGTAAAAGCCGTTGTCACCGGAGGTATTTAGCGTGCCTTGCGGATGCACCTGGCTGCGGGGTACAAAGGCTTAGGTTATAGTTCAGAGACAACGCCTTGGAGCGAAAAATGCATTGTACAAGAGCACCTCTGAGTGATGGACTGAAGCGCGATAGCGAGCTTGAATTTGCAAGAACGAAAGCCACAAAACCTTTGACAGCGCCAACAATTGGCGGGACCAAATTCCGACAACTGAAGTAAGGCCGGAGGAGGTACGGCACACGTGAAGACATCAAACAAGCGAGGAGAAACACGCGAGCAGGAATCGCGCTGGGTGAAGAGCGTTCGTCTGGTTGCCGTCCTTAATGTTTCTCATGAGAGCCGAATTAACCATTTCCGACGGGTGCTGACACGACCCTCTTATGTAGACCTCGGATCCAAAAGGCGGAACTCGCCGGCATTTGTGATGCCTAGCTAATAAGCCGGAATCCCTGCGACTTGCCTTCAATCATACCACACTCTACTTACCGTGTCGTCTCCGTGATTCATCTCTTTTCGCTCACAGCACCCGTAAATTGTCAGTTTGCTTTGAGGTCGGCATGCTTGCTCCACAACAAATCGCAACCATTTTTATGACGTTCAGTGGACGGTGCTCCAGAATCCCGGCATGACCTCGTCTGGTTGTACTAGTATCTATCAGTTGGAGGTGACTTTTATAGAAATCGCTGTTGATGTTTTCGAATGAAATCACCTTACACTTCTTTCTTTTGATCTAACAAGCCATCTTCCCGGTTATTGATACAATGCAGTACTTCCGAAACCTGCAAACAGTGGAAGTAATTCGTTTCAGATCGACGAAAACGCCGCAAATGGCATAAAAACTGAGAAGTTTTCGACAAAGACCATCCGGAGGGTGAGTCATTGGAAATCTTGTATCTGGAAGTGCAGTAGTTCTTACATCGACTCCGCCTCCGAGTTTTCTAACTTTCTTTACCTTCAAGTGGATTCTGTACATACAAATACCGTCGGCAACCAATGGAACGTCAAAAAAAGCAACCACTTCAACTGTTGCAGGTAGGAGATTTTAGCACATAACCGCATGATTAAACTAATATGTGTTGGGTCGTCTGACGACACCCATTCCGCGGTTTCAGATCGCAACTAGCATAGCTGCTCCAAGAAGACAACCATCATTGAATTCTTTCCTCACGAAGGAATCGGAGCGAAGGGAATTCATAAGTAGTGGCTGTATGTTCACAAGTAGGAGGCGCTCGCCTTCATTCAAATAACGCTGCGGGTCGCGGGCCCGATGTATTGGGCGATAAACCCGAAGGACATTATAGCCATGAGTTTACCTGGAAGAAAACATTCAGCGTACAGGCAGTCCCTTTAGACGCGAACAAGAACACTTTCTAGGCATGAATGGAGCTGTCTGAACTGTGTTACTATTTCATTATGCGCTTATTTTTTTATTAATGGCGCATTACATTTGGGTTGGAAACAAAGCGACGGATTGGCCCTCGAAACGTTGTCCCGCATGTCAAGCCAGCTCGGAGGTTTTAAATTTCAGAGGCTGCAATTTGAGAATGTGGAAGTCACATAATCAGACTACCTATGATACGGAGCCTTGTCTTCTCAGACTAGTCTGCTGCACGATCCGAAGCAGCAGGTTTGTAGAACCTGGAGTGAACCCACGAGGTGAAGTGGTCCTTTTGGCACAAGCGATAAAAGCTATCTTTCGAGTTGACAAGAACTCGAATTCATGATGGGAGAACTGCATTGAAGTTGGTGGGTGCTACGTACAAATGATAATGAAGTTTCGGGATTATAAACGCTTTGTAACTATGGGTTTTCCATTACTTCTGGATCAACCTATAAGTCTTCCGTTCAATGGGCGACAGCTCCTAAACGTTCCTCTCTGCCAGAGAGGGCGAAACACTACAACGATTTTCGCACGGTATGAAGGAGCCTTGGTAAATCAGTGTCATAGCGAACATCGGCATATGGCTGTAAACAGTTCCTTCCAATTCGAGCGGTGAAATGAAAGTGGCGGCACTCTTATTCGCCCTTATCAACTTCCCCACCACTTATGAGTTTAACCTACCAACTGCTTCCCCGTTCTGAACAACGCATCGTAAGCACATTCACTGAGAAGTCACAACAAAATGAACGACACTTACATTCCGACATGTTTGTCCAGATTTACTCGGTTACCACTTCCTACAATCCAACTATGAGCCTTCCTTCTCCCTTATCATTTGAGCGCTTTGCTACTTAAGCGATAACGGAACGTCCAGGAAAAAATGGGCCTTACTTATATGGTTCGTGTAGACACATTGACAAGACATATTGCTCAGACACCGCTCAATCACCGGAACATGGCAACCTTCCATCTCTGCATTGTAGCGGCCGCAGCGCTGGGGCGTCCGCAGGGAAAACCCCAGGGTGAAAATCGTGTCGAGTACGTGGTCGCAGAGGTACGACCCCCCCCCGAAATCGAGATCCTGGCACGACCCCCTCTAACAGAGCAAATTAATTCAATTAAAATAAATCCTGCAAAACAAATCAAAAAAAATTCTGCAAAATAATGCTAAGGACGCTTCATCTTGTCATCTATGCACGTCTTCCATCGCTGCATACTTTTGTGTACATACTGAAATATCGACTCGAGGAAAGAGGCATTAACTTTGTGTGACCTCAAGGCGAGGTTCGTTCAGAAACGCACAGAAATCCTGAAGACACGGGGTTGCGATTCAATCTTGATTCTTGCTTGAGTATATCAAAACAGCCGAGTGTATCAAAGGCCGATTCAACGGCAGCTGCGGCGCGATTGTCACTGGGTCAGATTTGCCGAAATTTCAAAAAAAAACGTCCGAATCTACACCCTCGATGAAAAGGTTGCATTCCTCCATTTCACAACCTTTGAAGCAGCTTGAGGTAGAGTTAGATAGAGCTGGATTTCGCGTTTCCAACAAGCATCGAAATTGCTCTGGAAGCCTTCCTTGCAGAAAGATAGGGTCTGTCAAATTTCGTCGAGTAAATGTCGAGGAGGCCCAAATTTTCACGCGAGTTTTTGCCACTTCAAGAGCAATATATCTCTTATATTGTAAGATCCTGAAAAAGGGAAGATAGTTTTGGAAAGCGGAAGGTTTGCGCTTCCTGATGGTCTGTTTAGTTTTCTTCTACAGCTTTTTGGTTGAAGAGATATTTGCGTCGAGGATCTATCGAGGTCGGATCCGGCCACCTGGAAATCCGCTCCCTCATTCACCATTGCAAGTGTGACTCGTTGGCAACACTCGGAATGTGTCTAGAACAATATCTTTGAACGCAAACAATAAGAATAGGAGCAATCGTCATCATCCGATTTGGTATTGGTATAAGCCATGCATCCCTCCTCCACTCACAGTTGCAGAATCGATTGAAAGGTGTTATATGATGGGGACCTTCGAACGAAACTGTATTGTAGTAGACATAGTGTGTTGTGCTATTCCTGTAACCTAAAAAACAACTTCATTTGCCCAGCGCTTTTTCTTCACGGTTGTCGTTTTTCCGACAGGGTCCCTAACAACAGCGTCATTCTCAGCGAGGTATTAAGGGAGAAGGAGCGAGTGATAGGCGGAGGAGGTGCCTTTGCAGCGCGTGCGCACATGTGGCACTCTTCTTTGCGGGGATGCACTTTCATTCTTTGTACTGCCTTCAAATACGCCCTTCTCATGAAGGTGGAGGAATGGAGCGACTGAACCTGCAAAGAAAATTTAATATCATGTTTTTTTCGGATGTTTTCATTTTCTGCTGCGCTATACCCTATTACCTATCTGCACCATGATACCACTTCTGTTACTGACCCCCAAGAGTACGACCCCCCATGGACCAGCCCAACAGGTACGACCCCCCTGTCGAGGATTTCCTCGACCGATATTCACCCTGCTCGGGACCTCCCTCCCTCAACTCGTGCGATATGGACTGTATATAGTGCTTTAGTACGAAAGAAAGCGTGTTTATAAAGTGCTACGCCTTAAACGACATTCCTGAAAGGTGAAGAAATTCAAGCAAGTATTTGCAATGACAAGCAAAATATCTCAGTTCGTAAGTGAAGATGAATTTCAATTAACTGGGATTTCTGGTTACAAACACATAAGAAAACAACGGATTGTAGTAGGATTGTTGGAGAACTCCCCGCAGTACTCCATGGCTTCTTCAGATCTGGCAATTACACGGTTCCGAAGAGGTGGCCAACGTACTGCACCTGGCATGTGTGTTCTTCCACGACAGCAAGAAAGGTCGTTGTCTAAGGCGGCATACGGTAAGACCGGTGCCGGAACTCGACGAAAAGGGAATGCTTGGTAAGAAATTTCATTTTCACCGGTGCCCCTGTGTGTAAGCCTTTTCGGGCAATTTTTTACTTTGTTCGATTGTATCGTCAAGAAGTACAACAAAAAAAGTGAGGAAAATGAGTGGTGATTTTTCAAAGTCGCTTTACTTGACGATATGATGGAGTCTGCTTTTATAAATATCAAGTGAAAGGTTGCATTGTCTACAAAAATAAGATGATGGGAGCGTATATGGCTTCGAATTTAACGAGCTCTTCAGTATCAAAGCCTTTCCGTACTACTTAGCGGCCAGGGTGAATAACGGTCGAGGAAATCCTCGACCATAGCTCTCTACCATGCGAGAGTAGTGCCGAGAGTGAACATCCGCGCGGAGAGCACAGACGGCACGGCATGGCGAGTGTGAATGTCCGCGCGAGAGATCGTCTCTGATCGGGCAGAGAATCCTCGACGTGCCGTTGAGGAATCCTCAAGCGATATTCGATCGGTTTTATTGGGTTATCACACTTAATATTGGTAGGTGTGTAGACTAACACTGAATCGTGAGCCACGCAGGCAAGGCCGGTAACAACCTCCGTGTTATTGCGAGCCAATCGGCAACGGAACAGGATTATCAATCCCCTACGAGTGTTAGTGTATCGTCCCCGGAAGATTCTCTGCCAGCATGAGTATGTCAGTTGTGATCACAAGCGGCAACGTGAAAAGTTGTACGCAAGAAGACCCAGTTACCGAAGAGAGATCCACCAAAACCACACTCTTGACGTTGTCTTAGGTGGTCGGACTAAACAGGAGTAACCAGGGAAAAAGTACGCTTTGGCCGCCCAAGTATCTGACGCGCACTGAAAGAGTTGGGATATAGCAACCATACTCTCAGAGTAGAGACAAAATGATCGATAGAATAGGATGCGTTAAATAGCGAAATTTTTTGCCAAAGGTAAAAAGCTCAGAGTTTTCAATGACGCCAGTCTAAGAAGCAAGTCGAAGCATGCTGCGGCCAGACGCATCGAAATATTTACGAGATCGGATTTTTTTGTGTTCTTTTCGATGTTATCGTGATTATGAGTCTCAAGCCAGTGATTTATGATGGATTCCCGTGAACGATTCCTTTCATGTGGATGGAGTCACCTGTGGCAGTTTTGCCGCGTATCCTATGTGTACTGATCTGCATGCTCGAGAGAATTCACACCTCTCGCAATCTTTCATGCCTCTGCCCTCCATTTAACCGTTTTCGGCTCATTTACGCATCCTTAGGCGAATTTTTTTAAGTGGGTTTCATGACGACATATGTTTTCACCGCCGGAGAAACGTTTGCAAGTTTTACAGTAGCGGTCAGAAAGTGTTCGCCGAAACGGTTTTTCGTGCTTCTCTTTTTTTGCCAGAAAAAATCAATGGTGACCTCGAAAAATTTTCTTTTGAATATCCTGATTCTTTAAGACTTGAGGATATAAAAACACTAGAAAACAGTATATCAATCTTTGGAGGACGTTGCTCAAGCGAGAAAAAATAATGCACTGAAAATCGTTTCGGCGAACACTTTTGACCGCTACTGCATGTTCCTTTAGGGCTATGCTTACGGCCTTGCATGAGAAACCTCATGTAATAATCATATGAATATTTCAATCAAATAACTTTGAACAAAATGATAATAACTAAGATGTTGCATTTTAGTGGATGAGGAAGAGTATGACCCAGACTTGCATGATGACCAAAGCGAAGACCTTCCAAGCGCAAACGAGGGAGATTTCTGAACACATTGTGTATTTCTTCAATAATATCTAAAACAAAAGCTTTCTTGGGAAATAACATTGATTTAATAAATATTTATATTCTAGTGACTTTTAGCCAATTATTAAGTTTTGTGAGTGCGCTCCATATTCGTCTCTCCATTCAGACCCTCGTAGGCACGTAGATTCCTTTCGGATGACTTATATAACGAGCTGGATTTATGAAAGGAACAAGACCAGTTGCTTCAACTTAAGCAGTTTGACTTCTCTTAGTAATTACATGGGTAACACCATAAAGTTTGAACTAGGACCGCAGAAGATGCCCCGAAAAGTGGGACGTATAAAACAAGAACAAGAATCATGTGACTGCACGTCGTTCCATGCACGCAGTGTCAGGACTCAACCCACATTCATGTAGGGTTACCACATCAGTTTGATTATAAGCCTTGATTTAACGTTGTGGAGGAGAGAAGGAATAAAGCTTGAAGTCATTGCATAGGTGACTGAAGGACGTGTCCTAAGTCCACTACGCTCGAAAATGAAAGCAGCGGTCAGAAGGGGATTATCAGCGAAGAAAATGGACAGTTTTTAGAGTGGTTCCGCTGGGAATGAAAGTAGAGCTGCAAGGAGATGCAGCAGTGGAGAGAAAATTAACGAAAATATTCTGAAAGCAAACAGGATACTTGTTTTCCTCGTTGGTTTCCGCTTCAGACCAGTCTTCCAGGATCGAGCCTCCGTCGAGAAATCCAGGGGTTGTGTTTGGTGCCGTAGGAGGAGAGTTCGTAAGTTGCCTAACGCTATCCATTTTTCTCCTGCACTTCTTAGAAGCGAATGATGAATCCAGAGATAAACTCTCCCCCACTTGAGTGCACGCCACGCCCATTATTTACCTTTAGCCTTCTCTCTTTCTCTAGACTACATTTTTTACGGCCCGCTACTGTTATGCTGTTTTTTTGAACCGGCCCTATGGGAAACGAATAATGGCGAATTTATAACCGTCCCTGCCGTAGCGGCATTGTTGGTGGATGCTTGAAAGTAAGTTTTGATAAGGCGCGTCAGAACGCAGAAGTCGTCAACTCCGTTACGCAGCTTGCGTTGACAGAAGAGCTTCCATACTGGCAAGTGGTTTATGTGGAGGTTGGACGGTACATTGTTCGGTGGTGTGATTAGAGTATGGGTGATAAGGGGGATGCAACGACGAAGGATTGCGTCAGTCCGTTTTCCTCGCTCGCGCTGACACCAATGCATCCTACTTAATTATCTCTTACGAGGAAAGGGAGTGGACATTGTTCCTCGGTAAGGGAAGATGATCGCAAATTATAAAGCCCGTCAGGGCGCCTTAGAAAGCAAAAGTCCGTTGCGCAGCTCACGTTGAGTGTTGAGTGTTCTTAGTTACAAGTGTTCTGGTGAGGGGACGTTGACGATGCATTCGATACAACTAGTCTGTTTGAAGCAATTCTATGTTGCAGCGGTTGCGAATGATACATTCCACTCATGATCTAAATCCATGAGGCTGGGTATTCATTAAACGCGCATTACGGGTCCGCCTCGAAGAGTGGAATGTTAAACAAATCACAGCGTTAGATGCTTACTTTAAAGGACGAATTTACGATGGAAAAGCAACCCATTCCAAATTGAGGTAGAGATGGTGAGTAGTACCAGAAAGAAAGCGAAACCACGAAAAACGGCCCAGAACCGGAGAAATGGGACCCCTTCCTTGTCCGTTGATTTGAGCATTGATGGGACTCTCATCGCTTTGCCCTCTTCAACCCTACGCTCTCTCAGCTATCTAATCACTCGCCACCTATTGTACTACGGCGAGTGATCAGACGATCGGTGGGCGGAGATCGCCGAACTCGCCAACTTTGAGCCATGCTAGATCTCAGAGGTCAAATCTTTCGATGCCGATTGCGTGTCTGTCCGCACCCTCAAGAGATTCACCGCTCTCCCCACTAGGCGATTTCTCCCTTCTTCGACCTTCGTTCTTTCCGTGCAATCCTCCTTTAAAGGAATCTTCCGCGGAAAAAAAGCTCCGCCTCCATTACCACAGAAAAACGATACCTTAGGCCCCTAGCCTCATGAGCATAGCAAAAAGAACGGAACATAAGCGTTAGTTTCGATAATACTAATCCTACACACAAGAAAAATGATCACTCTTTTCCGTGGAAGATTCCTTTAAGGTATCGTTTTCTGTGGTAATGAGGGCGGAGCTTTTTCCGTGGAAGATTCCTCCAATTTTAGCGTTGGTTTTGGGTAACAGCAAAAACCCCTAATGCAGATGCTAAATTGTCAGGATCCAATCATGCTTACAGAGTTGTGATAAATATACGAGCTCATGGTCAGCTTCGCTTTCCGCAACGATGATGGACTTTAACGGATGTAGAGCCTCCAACCTCAGGTCATTCGACTAACATATCCGATAGTGAGGTGCTTTGGGTAGTAGATCAGGCGAGGTTTCACAGAGCTTCCAATTTAGGAGGATCGCTCGTTAACTGCGCGCTAAAGCGATAGCGGCAGTAGCAAGTCTAGTTGCGCTTAGTTCACTATACGCATGTCTGTTGTAACATGTGTGTGCGTCCGTTTCATACGAAATCATAACGCGCTTCGCTGCGAATTTCGTTATGATAGCTAGAGGAAACATATCGCGTGAAGCGGTCAAAAAGTCATAACGATTGGTGAGAGCTGCTAAGAGGCGCTAGAACGCAAATTTCGCTAAATCACAGCGGGTGTTCCAGCTGCAGTAAGCCTTGATTTTGAACAAGTGATGTAGCGAGTGGGACGGGAAATATTTGGTGGGGTGGGGGCAGAAAGTGATAAGTGCTGATAGGGGCTGATAAGAGACATTAGAACACAAATTTTGCTAACTCATTACACGGTCCCTCTAAATTACTAGAGTTCCCTGAATTTGGTACGGGGTGGTATGGCTGGGAAATAGGATATGTTGGTGCGAGGGTATTTCCTTTGAAACATCATTTTGCGATGAAAAAATTTTCGACCGGAACTATATTCTGAAATTTGAATACCAGGTCGTTGTTTCAATAGACAGATCGACTTCTTAATCTCGGCATAGTATTGGTATTCAAGTTTTTTCTTTATGCAGCCTCCGAGATTGATATAGACTTTTATTTTGACTGACGTTTCGGCTGAATCGCCTTCTTCGGAGCCTGTAAAGAAAGTCTAACATATTCGTGAAACCCAATCGTTCAAATACCTTTTCAAATTACAAGAAAAAAGTTCTAGGGGCTGGAAAATCATTAGCGGTGTCGGCAAACCTGACCTAAACGACTCGGGTCGGACGTCCATCGTCGTTTAAGGTTTTAGGTCAGGTTTGCCGACACCGCTAATGATTTTCCAGCCCCTAGAACTTTTTTCTTGTAATTTGAAAAGGTATTTGAACGATTGGGTTTCACGAATATGTTAGACTTTCTTTACAGGCTCCGAAGAAGGCGATTCAGCCGAAACGTCAGTCAAAATAAAAGTCTATATCAATCTCGGAGGCTGCATAAGAAAACAAACTTGAATACCGGTCGGTGGACCTTAACGGTCTACCGACTCTCAGGTTTCACCGAACTTCGGGTTCTGCGCGCTGCGTGAGCTAAATGGTGTGGCATAAATATAGAATTAGCTCACAATGCTCAGAGGTACCTGGTAATCTCTTCAGGGACGTTAAGTGCGAATGATAGCGCTGATAAACAGAGACATGCCTACTGCGGTGGACAAGCCGCAATCGGGAATTTCATGATCCCATATAGGATGGCCATATGGAATTCGCGTAGGGTCTGTCTGGGGACCACAGGAGGTATATAAGTCTACGATTGACCACGGCGAATATTTGCTTAGATTTTTTCTTCATAGATTCGCGGTTAGAATGCCCTATCAATATCGATTCGATACTGTTTGATTATTGAAGTTAACTAATTAGATTCGTGTTTTGTCGTGTATTATTTATTTCTGAATAAATTTTACTCGTTCATTACAAGTTAGATCTGTGTGCTCCGTGTGGCCGGAATAAAGAGTTGAATTGACTTCGGGCGTTGAGAACCGTCCGGTCTAATATCCGCCTAGCTACGAACGTAAGGCGGACTATTTCCTGTTTTTTTAACACATTGACGACAACGCGGGGGATATATATCCCGCGCATTGCAGGCCGTGTCGGACCGTGCGGGGGATATATCCCCCGCACCCATTACACTAATTTTTTTCGCGCACGCCTGGTTCTTCTAGAAGTTTCTTGTAATTATTGAATGGAGGAGACCTTGACCTAGCTAAAAACATAGTGGTCCATAGAATGGTCACGTATGCTTCAATTTGGAGGAGGATTTCTGAACCATACGAAATCTTCAGCCTAATAAATTTTTCGTTTACTTTTTCTTCCTATGAATGTGAAGGTTTAAATAGTAGTAGAAGTAGATACGGTACCTTAGAGATGACAGTATATGTGTTTTGATTAAAATAATCAACTCAAAATTGCCTTTGAAGTTTATTGCAGCTTGTTCTAAAGAATATCACTTTTTCATTGTTATTCCATGTCTTTCAATAGAAATTCCGCTACTGTACCTCCGAGTAGGTTGTGCTCATTACAATATATTGATCTGGCCTTGTATTGATCATTATTTATGTTTTTATCACTCAAAATTTGCTTGAACGACCTGAGGCGGCGGCGCTCGCAAAAACGCCGTGGGTCCCACGTGGCCAAAAGTGCCAAAACTCGCGTTGTCGTCAACGTGTTAATATTCGTTCGCTGTACAGAGTAGGAAATCCGCGATTATATGTCCCATGAATTCTCGGGAAAGCCGTTGACAGTATTAACGACGGCCTGCACAGGCTTGTGCTCCTCGATTCGATCTTTCGTAGAAACATTTTCCTTTTCGCGACGAGGAGCAGGCGCTGCACTCCCATTTCCGACAAGTCGCTCTGTCTTACGACTTGTCGGTAACAATTTATTGCGTATCGATACGGACTTTTGTGCATTACAAGAAAAGGAAGGATTTGACGTTTTTGGGCACATGCACTCACAAAAAAGG